TTTCCCTTAAGCCAAATTAAATCACATACTGGTGTAAGGCCTATGGTAGCATATTATTCTGTTCCACTTTTCATTCTGTCTGACCTAGTCCCTGAGCAATAGGACTGCGGCTAAACAAAGGCAGTTGTTCAAATAATTACAGGCCCTATGTGAAGACGCTAATCGTTTTAGTCTTGAAGTGTCAGTGACTCACCATCTTGGACTTTTGGCTTTGATGTGTATTCTCGCTGAAAATGGGGAGAAGGGTCTGGCTCTGCCTGGCAGCTGACAGCGGCAGCTCCAGAGCTGGCTGGTGGTGTCATGTCGCCCTCTCGTGGCCTCCGGAGCAGCGTGGCATGCTTGCAGCCAGAGCGGGAGAACAATCCAGGCCTCCTCTCCCTCCAGCTGGGCAGCCCTGGTGAGGAGGGCTGGACCCTCCTGAGATGACAGGTCACTGAGGCTGACCTGCCACAATTCGGCATGGCCCACCGGCTTTGGGTGCTGGCCTCCATCCCCACCCTTAGTCCGTGAGTGACCAGACATGAGAACACAGGACCCTGGCCCAGATTTTCAGCTGTCTCCCCCCAGCTCAGGACAGTATGTGCCTGGCACAAGTCAGTAAATATCTGTTGAATGAATGGATAAAACTGGGGATGGAGAGGACTCCTAATTAGACTCCAACTTCTCAGTTAAGTGTTTTTACTGATACACAATGGATCATTTTAGTTAGCCAAGGAACAGTGCTTGCTCTCATGACTTACTTTAATACATTTAAAAAGGTTCCACTCTGTCTCATTTCAAGCAGCCAAACTCTTTCTCTGTGTTCACATACGTGAATCACAAGAGACTGTATTTATAGATATCAGGATCTAAGGATGTGCTTTCCAACTGCATGCCTCACCTCAAGATAAGACTGCAGCCCCGCGGGCTGGTTCGGGGACCCCACCACATTGTCCACACAACCAGCTCTGAAGGGCAGCAGAAGCAGAGGGTGCTGCTAGCAGCATTTCACTTTTTGAAATGCTGGTGACAGGGTTTTTCCTTTTCCTAGAGTATACAGGCATCATTCTGATCATTGTTCTAACTGGTTTGAGGCTTCAGTCCATACTCTCCTCCCTTGCTAGCACCCTACAGGAAAATTATGTTGTCCCGAAGCCAGCTACCACTAATCCCCACAGCATCTTTTTATTCTTTAAGTCACAGGGGAAAGTCCATGGGGAGAAAAACTCTAAACACATGGCACAGCTTTTAGACACCCAGAGGACCCCTCCAGGATGACCTGTGGCGCTGGGGAAGCACTGGGATAGCACTGGGATGGACCAAGGCAGGGCCGCCTCCTGCCCTCCATCTCTTCGTGGCCATCACCGAGCAGATTTCCACCTCAAGTATGAAGCCCCCACAAGAGTCACCACCTTCACCTGGCTCAGCGTGGACACCTTGGCCACTGAAACCATGCTCAGGGGAGGGGCCTGCAGGCATGTCGACTGGCCCACGCTCCCACCCTGAAATCACTGGCCAAGGCAGGGCGCTCACTAGATTCTAAGCTCCTTGAGAACAGGCCCAGCCCCTTCCTTCTGCTTCATCCTCTTAGGAAAGCCCTCTGGTTCAACCCAAGAGAGGCCATGAAAAGCCTATTGGCTGATTTCTAAGTTGGCTCTTCTGCTTTCTATGCCAAACTTGACTCAAAATGCAATGCAGCTTTGGACCCCATACCATTCCAGAAACTTTACTGACCACCAACGTGTACCAGGCCAGTGACAGCTGCTGGGGACAGAGAGGAGGGGGCAGTCCTTGTTTTCAGGGACTGTAGGGTGGGCAGCAAGCACAGAGCTAAGCCCTGAGTCCAACCAGGCACAGTCACCTCTCGGTATCCCTGGGGGATTATTCCAGGACACCCCTCAGATACCAAAGTCCTCAGATGCTTCAGTTTTAAGATGTTTGCATTAACCTTCACACACAAAGTCCTCAGATGCTTAAGTTTTAAGATGTTTGCATTAACCTTCGCACATCCTCCTGTACACTTTAGACCATCGGTAGATTATTTCGAATCTAGATTACTAACAGAATACCCACATATCACTTCACTCACATGGACTGTGTAGTGGTCGGCATGTAGCAAATTCAAGTTTTGCTTTTTGTAACTTTGGGGAATTAAAAAATATATATTTTCGCTGGGTGTGGTGGCTCACACCTGTAATCCCAACACCTTGGGAGGCCAAGGCAGATGGATCGCTTGAGCCCAGGAGTTTGAGACTAGCCTGGGCAACATGATGAAACCCTGTCCCTATACAAAATATAAAAATTAGCTGGGCATGGTGGTGCACACCCAGGTACTAAGGAGACTGAGGTAGGGGTACTGCTTGAGCCTGGGAGGTCGAGGCTGCAGTGAGCTATGATCTCTGCCACTGCATTCAAGTCTAGGGAACAAAGCAAGACTGTCTCAAAAATATATCAATCCATGGTTGAATCCATAGATGAGGAACCCATGGACATGGACGCCTGATTATCTCAGCTGCCAGGAAAACATCCAGGTATGCAAGGGGCCCAGTGGTGGGGAGGGGATGAAGGGCTCCAGGAAGGCAACGAGAAGAGGCAAGGAATGTTTCAAAGAAGAGGTGGGGCAGGAGAGATGAGAGGAGCCTGCCAGCCCCAGATGACCTGAGCCTCACGGGGGCAGAGGTGGCAGTCACAGCCAGTCTCCATCTTCACCCTCTGCACCCCTCCTGGTGCCCAAGCACCAATGCAACATTAATGGAACAAGTAAACTGGGGACCTGAATGCAAAAGGAGAAACGCAAAGAGAGACAGGCAAAGGCCTCAGAAGGTCAAGTGGGTAAGGAATGGAGAGTCCAAATACCCTTTAGAGGAGCGGGGATCCTGGGAAACGCAGACCTCGGGGCGAGCAGGAGGGAAGGCTGGTAGTAAGTCACTGAAATGGTTTGCATGACAGTCAATAGCAGTAAAGAAAACTTGAAAAAGCAAGGGTGCTAGGTTTATATTTCTTCCTCTGAGCTATGGCACATAAATCAGGGTAAGTGATTATGGTATCGGAGAAGCTTTAAGCTGGAGAATTCTCTGCAGTTTTGGTCATCTCGTTAAAAGGAAGGTGCAGGAGAGGGTCATAATCCTAAGAAGGGAAGGACAACTGAGCACGTGCAAGGACTGCAAGAATGTGCCTGCAAGGACGTGATCGGATCCGGGAGGCCCACGAGTGTAGGGAAGGCTTGGAGGGACAGTGGCAGTGGCCTGGCACTCGGAAGAGGAATCTGTGCACAGAAGCCACTGCTCGCCAGGCACACATTCACTGCTGCTGCAGCCTCAGGTGCTTTATGCCTTTTGGTTTTTGCTTTGAAACACAGTCCATTCTGTCACCGGGCTAGAGTGCAGTGGTACAATCATGGCTCATTGCAACCTCGATCTCCCAGGCTCAAGCGATCCTCCTGCCTCAGCCTCCCAAGTATCTGCAACACAGTTGTGCACCACCATACCTAGCTAATTTTGCATTTTTTGCAGAGACGAGGTCTCACTATGTTGCCCAGGCTGGTCTGGAACTCCTGGGCTCAAGTGACCTGCCTGTCTTGGCCTCCCAAAGTGCTGGAATTACAGGCAAGAGCCACTGTGCTTGGTCAGGTACTTCACACACTTGTCTAAGCTGCTCTAACCTGTTGCATTAGGTGTTATCATCCTCATTTTCTAATGAGTAAACAGATACTCCAGGAGAAGAAGCAGCTTTGCCAACATCACTCAGCCAGAAAAGGGCAGTGCCAGACACAAATCCAGCCCCTGCTGGCTCCCAAAGGCTCTGTGCTTCCGCCATACCCTGCCTCCCCAAGGCAGAGAACGTCCAGAGGGCACTGGCAGGCAGTGTGGCCTCCTGACAAATACTAGGCAAGACACATCCTTGGAAGGCCAGGTAGGGAAAGGTATAGGCATTTCCAGGGGACAAAGAAATCATTGTGCAGATGTGGTTTCCTGGGGATATACTTCATCTCTGTCATTTGGCTGGAGCAGAAGAGAGAGCTGCTGAGGGCCACTCCAACAGCTGTGGGACAAATCTCCCACCCAGCTGCGGATCGCTGGGACGAAGGGGCCATGCAGCCTGGCTAACAGCAGCCTGCTCACCTGCTGCAGCCTCCCTGGGCTTCCCTGACAGTCTACGAAAAGGCATCTGATGGGCTCACCATTGGGACTGCAAAGATCCTGAGCCCTCCGGCACTCTCGGCTCAGTCAGAAGGCTGTGTCTGAATTAAAAGTGATGTGCAAAGACCGGGGCAGGTGAACACACACCACAGAAAACCTGTCTGTGGCAGCTTATGCAAGGGTGTCTTTAACATTGGACTCTATGGTAGAATCAGTGATTCCCAACAATATCTGAGGCTGAGGGAAGGAGGCAGGTGGAAATTGATTCTCTGAGACCACCTCACCGGAAAGCACAGCCCTGGCTTGAAGTTGCTTAGACAAGATTCTAGAATGAGATGTAGGGAGGTGGGGAAGCATCATTCCCAGTAGGTTGTAGGCACAAGGCCTTTGGGAAAAAGCCCTCTGGGAAGGGCACAGCCAGGGCCACATCCCCGAGGCATCTGCTAGGTGGGAAAGGGCAGCCTCGGCCTCACATTGATGCACGGACCCTACTGACAAGTGCTTAGATGTGCACAGCCCTGCACCTCCCTGAGCTGCACGTCACTCTGTTAGACAGGCTGGGAAGGGGCCATCATTTCGATCTGTATGTGAGGTCACTGAGGCTGAACGCACCAGCTTGTAGGTAGCAGAACTAGGGCTTGAACCAAGATTTGCAACTTGAAGCTCAAGGCCTCATCCACTACCAATCAACCAACCCAGACTGAGCTCCTCCTTAGCTTTCAAACGCCCACTGAGAAGCTGGACAGAGAGGACTTGTGTTCTGAAAAGCCTTTGGTTGTTTCGGGAGCCCATTTTGGTGTCTAAGAGGGATAAATGTGGGCACTGACTGGTAACTGATGTGTTCTGACACAGAGGAGCCTCGTGCCCCCAGGAAGTGCTTACCCCTTCCATGGGCGCGATGAGCAGGTCATACAGGGCACGGAGCGGGGGCTTGGCGAACGAGCTCTGCCTCCTGGGAAGAGAGGAGGTCCCGTCCTGGGTCGGTGACACAGTGTTACTGAACAGGCTTGTCATGCTCTGGCAGCTCCTGGGGAAGGAAGGGCCGAGGGTCAATCAGGGCCACGCAGGCAGGTGAGGATCACCCCAACCCTCCCAGCCATGCCCCTGTATGGAAGGCGGGCCAAGGCTTCACAGCAGCACCTCTGCCAGCCTCCCTCCCAGCTCCGGCCCCTTCTCTTCCCTTTCAGGTAATTTTCACACTACAGTGAGCACTGTCAGAAACCGCAGGGTAAACCAGCTGCACACAACAGCTTACATTTCTATGGTGTTTTTTCTACATAGTCAAATGTCCCTAAGTGCTGTTCAAAGGATTTAATTACATCCTGTGTGGAGCAATTGTGTGCAGGCAAACGTGAGGACCATTAGAAATCAGGGATAGCCACCAAGCTGATGAGGACAGTGCCCTAATACCAATTAATTTACTATGTGGGGGCTGCAGACAGGACAAAGAACATGTCAGCCCCCTACCTTGGGCTCAGAGCAGCCGCTGGGCACCCACCTGAGCACCAGCACAGGCTCTGTGGCAAGGCAGTAGAAACCCCTGGTCCCATGGCCTTACTGGGAAGATGCTAGGAGCAGCTGACCAGACAGCAGCTGCAGAGTGGGTCAGTTTGGGTATGGCTGTGTAGTTCTGTTTCACTTTTCAATTTCTGTTCCAGTGTTTCCGGGTGTAGATTAATATGGAAACATTTTCAACCCCAAGGACCCCAAGTTTCATACTGCCAACATGGGATGAGAGCATTCACTGATTCATTCATTCATTCACTCATTCCTTTGGAAAAATTTCCCCAAGTGCTGGCTGTCTGCCAGGCACTGGCATAGTCTCTGGGAACCTACAGAGGACAAAATGCACTAGTGAGCAGAAGAGGAACAGGGAGGGGAAACAAATCCATTTCCAGTGCAGCAGCAAGGCCGCCCACGCTCATCCTCTCAGAACCTGCCCTGTGGCCTGGCCAGGGCGGCTGCACCACAGCCATCAGTGACATTCTCTGCCTATTGGACAATTTTTTTTTTTTGAGACAGACAAGGTGTCATCCTTCCTGTAGAAGACAGCTTAAAAAAAGAGAGGAGGGGAGAAGGTGGTGTTCCATGGCCCAGGCTGGAGTGCAGTGGTGCAAACACAGCTCCCTGCAGCCTCAACCTCCTGGGCACAAGTGCTCCTCCCACCTCAGCCTCCTGAGTAGGTGGGTCCACAGGTGTATACCATGACACCCAGCTAACTTGTACATTTTTCTTAGAAGAGATGAGGTCTCACTGTGTTACCCAGGCTTGTCTTGAACTCCTGGGCTCAAGCAATCCTCTCAAAGTGCTGGGATTACAGGTGTGAGACACCACACCTTACCACCAGTGATCTCTTCGCCTTGATTGAGACACTGTGCATGGTGTTGGAGTTTCTGCCACATATTCTAGGATCCTTATGGGGAAAGACCCTGCCTTAAACCAGATACAACTGCTGTCTAGTTGATAGCAACTAGATGGTTGCCTAAGAAAAATACAGAAGGCTGTTCCTCTCTGCTGGTCCAGGCCAGGAACGATGACATCAAAATAAATTATTTGAAAGATTCAGTGATGTGTTTTCCAGGTGAGGCTTCCACCCCCAGCTCTTTCCCACTCTTCCTGGCAATGCACCACTTGACCTAAATTCTAGGGCTGTGTCAAGCCAAGCTCTCAGCACCCTCAGCCTCCAGCCTGGTGCCTGCGAGAGGTGAACAGGGCAGCAGGACTTGGAGGGCTGGAGAGCCCACCCTCGTCTGCTCCCTGGCCTCGCTCACTCTGGAAATGTGTAATTACAAGTGACGAGGGCCGAAGCATGTCTTTGCCATCAGAGCCAGTGAAGCACAGATAACCCTGGAGTGACACTCGAAGGCTCACTTAATTCCACAGAATACACTGCAAAGAGCAATTCTCCCCTCAAGGAGAGATTTCCAAATTGCTCTCCTGAGGAGGCGCTTTGGCGTGACACACGGTGTCTGTCACGGCACTGTCTGTTACCACACACATGCATTCTCAGCAGACAGGGAGCACAGCCCGGAAGAGCCCAGGCTGCCATCCAGACAGCAGATGGGTGGCAGCAGGAGCACTAGGTGCCCTCTTCCTGTGTACCTCATGTTTCACAATCTAGATGATGGCCTGGACTGTGGGCGCATGTACCCCCAGCTTGAGGCGCCTGAGTCTGATCAGTCCAGCTGAGGGTGACTAGGAGGAATGCCATGACCCCAGACAATGTTGTGACCTGAGGTCCTCAAGATGACTGATGGGGACACTCCACAAACCTTCAAGGCCCTTCGGCTTTGAACTGAAAAGGCTCCTACTAGAGAAAGAGACGCCAGCTCTAGGGAGTTCTCAGGACAGCCCCAGCTGTCCAGGGAGATCCAGGAGATTAGCTGCTCCAAAGCATGGCTACTTACTCCAACATATCAGAACCAAACACCCGGCCCAGCTGACCCTCCCTGAGGAGCACAAGGTGTCAGGTTGGGCAGTCCCTGGAGGTCTGGGCAGGGCACCCCTACTGCCAATGCTGAACTGCACAAGGAGTGCCAGGGAAGAGCTGGAGTCTGATGCCAGCCAGCAATTCCAAAGAGGAAAATGTCTGGAGGGAAGTGGTGGACAGACCTGCTGAGCTCGAATCCCAGCCTTGGGCAAGTCATTTACCCCTGGGCACTGCTTCATGCCCTGCAATCAGGGGCAGCGTCCCCAAGGGGCAGGGAGTGTGGGCCTGGAGAGGATGGCTACCGCGCAAGCAGAGCCACCTAAGGCTTGGGCATGTGAGCTAGAGACAGGCCTGGGGCGGGAAGGCAGAGGCCAGGCTGCAGATTCCAGGGCCTAAGTGCTAACGGTGGTGGCGTGTTCTTAAGGAAAATGCCATGAGCGCCAGAGGCATTTAAGGGGCCCGGTGGCGCCAACCCATCCCACGTATGTCACTGCCCATGATGTGCCAGATACTGGGTGCCACCCAGGCCACGAGTCTTTGCCCTGGGTTCCAACAGTGGTGGGGCAGTGCCAGAGACAAGTCCCTGACTCTCACTGCTGGTCAAGCTGAGCTGAGGGAAGCCTTTTTGGGACAGCACCATTTGATCAAATGATCAGCACCATTTGATCTGGGCTATGAGGGTCGATTTGGAGGTTGCCTGCCTGGACAAAGTGGAGGTCATTCTGAACAGAGGAACCACATAGGGAAACAGAGACTGGGGTGATTAGGGCAGTGAGTGTGAGGAGTCATGCAGACAGAGGGCTGGGGACACAGGCTGAAGAAGAAAGTGGGCCAGATGGGCCTGGGCAGAGGCTCTGGAGTTATCTATAGGGAGAAGCAGTACCTCGTACCTCTTTAAACAACCAGGATTGCCTGATCAGGAAGTTCCTCTCCCTAGGCTACTAATTCTTTCCTAGGGGATGAGCATAAGAAGGCCAGCTGTGTCTATACTCCTCCCCTGAGAACATTCCCCTGCCCCCAGGGCTGGGTTTTGCAGAGTAGCCATGATCAGACCATATGCCACCCTCACCCTGGCTAACTTCAGTTGGGAAGCCAGTCAGATGCTTTGACCAGGGCTGGGAAACACACAGCCATTTAAGGCACCTGTCTGACCTGGGGATATTTCCTGGAAGACCCTCTCTGGGCATCTGGGTATGTTCCCAGGCAGTACAGATTCTTCAAGAACCAGATCCTATGCAACAAGATCATCTTGATGCCAAGAGCTGAAAAAAAAATAGAGGAACCAGATCCTAATGGGGTGGGCAGGGCACCTGAGCTACAGCAAAGGCTCTACCTCTGAGCCTCCGCTGAGCACCCCCTGCCTGGAACTGAACCTGATCCTGCTCTCTCCAGGCCACCAAGCCCACCTGTGCCCCAACAACACTTGCTGACCTCTGCCCCCTGGATGCCACATCAAGTGCTAGCTCTCAGCCTCCCACCTTGGCCCTTCCTGCAACCTGGCAGCTCGCAGACCAATTATCTCTGGAGCAGCAGTTCCTGGACACTGACCCTGGCCAGCCCAGTCTGGGTGGGCCCAGCAGGACCTGGCCACAGGGCCCCTCGCACTCAGGCAGGCGGTCCTTTAAGAATACCCCTCTGATCTGTGCTGGTACTCAGTGGGGGGCACCTGTCCCTAGAGATATCCTTTTCAAAATAAAAACAAAAGCCTAGAAATAGTCAGCTGGTAATTACAAAACAAACAAACAAAAAAACCAACCAGCCTGAAACCATGGTTTGAGGTCGAGGTAAGTCCATGAAGACTTTCTCCCTGAGCAGGAGGCATCTGTGGCTAGCCGTCGGGCCCCGTGGCAGCAGCCTTCGCAGGCCGGCGTCTGCTGGGCCCAGTGCTGCCTTTCCGCCCATGCCTATTCTTTAGTAGCTCTTCAGGCAGCAGTGACCTCTGGTTTCTCCAGGCTAATGGCCCTGGTCCACCTTGACAGCAGCCTCATGCAGCTGGTCCCCACTGGGGAACTGCCCTGGGAGTGATAGGCTCAGGGGCAGAGAATGGGAGTGTCGGGGTAGGGCGCAGGCAGGAAACCAGGCCAAGAGCGACTGATGGTCCCTTGAACCCTGGGAGCCCTCTGCCGGAGGTGTGCATGCGGGGAGGGTGTCGGGTTGGGACTCCGAGGACAGGATGTGGCAGGACACAGCCCCTCTCTGGTTGCATGGGCGGACCCGAGGTTTCCTTGCCTCTGCCATCATTAGTGCTGCTGCTGCCTTGTGCAGACTGCTGGGAGCTGGTGAGGGTGAGCTCCTTTCACATGCAGCTGCTGTTCTCACTACAACAGTTCAAGCAGCCCTGCAGCTATCTTACTGGGATACCTCTGCCTGGAGATCTGCATAAAGATATATTCCCAACAGCGCGAAACTGCAAAGCAGCCAGCTCCTTAGCCCCGAGCCTTGCTGTTCATAGATGGGAGTGGACCACCAGTTTGCCTAAACAGGTCACCAAAGAGCTGTGACTCTGGCAAGGCATGCCGCTTTGTACTTCCTTGCCGGTAAAATAAAGGGTTGGGCTAAAGTTCTTGTAGGCCTCTTCTAAGTTGTGCTTTTTTTTT